CCCGTCACCCGTCAGGACTCGGACCGGACCGGGACCGGGACCCCACGGATGCAGGCCCCCCCCGGATGCAGACGCCTCCGCCCCGAAATGCTCGGCCCTTGGCCCCAAGCCCGGCACCGGGGACCCTCTGCGCACCTCCGGGGACACAGGGACAGGGTCTCTCGGTGTTTCTTTCTCCTCTCCTTCCCGCTGCGTTTTTGGCAGCGTGGGAGGCAGTGCTTTCACCGACCCACCCAGGGCGGCTCCCGTGTCCCTGGGCGCTGGTGCTGGCTCAGCGCCCGTCACAACCTATTTGTGGTTCCTTTCTCCCCCCGCCCCATTTCTCTGTTTCTCGGTGTGTCCTAGCAATGAATTTTACTCTCCCTACCACAACGGCATCACCAAAAGATCTTGGGCTGGTCCCATCGAGAGGTCGGCCCACCATGAGTAATTTTTGTGCTGTCCACAGCCTTTCCCTTCTTGCCAGCCACCCCGCAGCATTTGTGTTTGTTTCGAGCAGCCCCTGTCCTCCAAGGCCTCTCCTCGTGCCCTGTGCCTGGCTGCTCACCCGAGCGAGGGCTTTCCCTCTGCCCCACAGCTGCTCCCTTCAGAAGGTAACCTTACAGCAGAGATCAGAGCAGCACCCAGCCAGCCCAGCCCCGCTCCACCCCTGCAAGCAAGCCCTGCTGAAAGCTGTCCAACTTCTGCCTCCAGCTCTTGGTTCGGCTCTTGGGCAGGTGGCATTTCCCTCATGAGTACTTACATGTGGTCACTATGTTCTTTCAACTGCTGCTGCTCCTAAATGAGACGAGGTGCAAGATGCTGGAGCCCTGCTTATGCTTTTTCTCCATGCTTGAGCAGCAGGTATTTAGCACACCCAAGTGCAAAAGTCTAGAACCCAAGCACATGCGCCTAGAACAAGGGAGTGCAGGGTGTGCTCACCTCACCACCTCCGGCTGCGGGAGGGGGGCCATAGGGCACCCACGCTACTGTGAGACCAGTCCTGGTGGGTCTTGTGTCCTCACAAGGCACCCACGGACAACTCTGGAGCTCGTTCCCCTGCCAAAGCCGTGATACAAACAGGCAGGATTTGGAGGGCGGAGAAGCACCTCGCAGAGGGAGATTGCTGACAGCGACTGGGTTTCTATCAAGCCATGGCAGGGCAAGACCCATCACTGAAAGAAAAGTGTGCAAGTCTTTCAAGATGGTTGTTAACCAGGAAGATGATTAACCCATGGAGCAGTTTCTCTACCGCCAGTGCAGGCTTTCCAACCCCAGGCATCTCTTTCCTGAAGGCAGCCCCACAAGTTCAGCACAGGTCCGACAGGATGGCCCTGTAGCTCCCACGGGCTTCAGACATCTCTGGCTCACAGCAGCTGCAATGCCAGGGGATGGGGGTACAGCCCAACTCTGCCCACACCTGACACCCTTTCTCCTGAGCAGGCAGGGCCCAGCTTGTGTTCCTGCCATTACGTGGGGCACACGGAGCTCCTGTTGCAGCCTCCAGCCCCGGAGCAGCCAGCACAGCTGGCAGGAACAGCGGCTTGGTTTGCCCCAGCAGTCTTCCTGCGCCCCAGGCTGAGACGCTGCTGTCCCAAAATGCACAGGACAATAGGGAGCGGAGCTGAGAAACCAGCAGAGCTTGGAGAGGCTGTGCAGAGGCAGCTGCCCTAGTCTCAAGGGCAAAAATCAGTGGGCATGAATGCTTCCCCAGCTCCAGCAGCCTCACCACTGCCCCAGCCTT